ATCCAAATCAGTAGTTTATCTAATGCTTTAATTTAAGTGCAATGTTATTTTCTTCACCCAAATGATTTCTAAAATACATTCATTTTTTTGTTGATTTCTTACTTAATTTAAAAATTATAAACTCACTTTAGTGGAAATAAATTGATCATGTGTATCTTATATGCATTGATATTATTGGCACGTGCGTTGTACGTGCAGTTGTGATAGAAATATGGGCACGAGGTGCCGTGGAAATATGAAAGTGGGTTGAGTCCCGATTTTTTATGATTATGAAATGAGGTGTCACAAGGTAACTTTTATTTGAAAGAATTATAGTTGAAAGAAATTTATTTGAAGGGAGTATATTCAAAATATATATTTATTTGACAATGTTATATTCTAAGGATTTTTATTGAAAAACTTATATTTGAAAGATTTATACTTGAAGTACTTACATTGGAAAGACGTATATTTGAGGGACTTGATTGATTGGTTGTATTTGTGTTCCTTATTCGTTTGAGCAATATTTTTGGTGATCTTGTTGCCTTGTTGTTTACATCATTTATTTATTCTTATTTCCATCATTGCCATTTATTTCTATTATTGTTGTTGTTATTATTATTATTATTATTATTATTATTATTATTATTATTATTATTATTATTATTATACACTGCACAGGTTAATTGATTAGTAAGTATCTTGACTGTACCTTGTCACTACTCCACCGAGGTTAGTCTTGATACTTATTGCGTACCGACCGTGGTGTACTCATACTACACTTCTGCACATTTTTGTGCAGAGCTAGGTATTGAAAATATCAGACTCGAGCAGAGTTAATGTGTTGATCGCAAGGATTCAAGGTAGAGCAACTTGGTTATCGCAGTCTCTTGGATTCTTTCCATTTTATTGTACTGTTAATTATTATTCAAACAATATTGTATATTCGATCCTTGAGATCATTTCATAAATTCAGTAAGAGTTCGTGACTCAGTATTACCAGTCTTGGGAGGTTTTTAAAATAATATTTTTCGCTGTTGGTTTCGACACGTGTATTAAATTATATCTTTATAAAAAAAAAGCTTGAATTGTATTTGTAATCGGCTTACTTAGTCTTAGAGACTAAGTTCCATCACGGCGCCTGTGGTGGGATTTTGGCTCGTGACAAACACGAAGTAAGAAATTACTGAAATTTGGATCTGCTCTTGCTCTCATATTTGTTGTGAAATGTATCTTTTCCATTAAAGGCCATAAATATGATTTCACTAAACTTGCATTAACCGTCTCTGCTCTTGTAGATTTTGGAACAACTGACAATACTTGTCGGAAATCGCCTCCAAAGACCATTACTTTTCCACCAAAAGGTACATTGACATCCATTATATCGTGAAAACTCCCGTCAACTGTTTCAATTGTTTGACGCTTTGCCATGGGTACTTCATCCCATATTATTAATTTTGCTTGTCTTATTAACTTAGCAACACCGCTTTGTTTTGACATTTTTGTCATAGTTGTATCATTTGTTTGAAGAGGTATGTCAAATCTAGAGCGAGCTGTACGACCTCCTGGTAATATTGCGGCTGCTACACCACTGGTTACAGTTGCCAAAGCTATCATACCTCTTGATCTAACATTTGCTAGTAATGCACGATATAAGAATATTTTTCTAATTCCCCCAGGTCCATCTACAAAATATAATCCCGTTGTTCCAGAGTCTACACTATGTAATATGGTCTTGAAAGCTTGTGCTTGTTCATGATTCAACTTTGATTGTGCCTCATAATCTTCTACAGATACCTTCATAGACATTTCTTCAATTATTTTTCTACATTCTGAAGTAATTTTTTGACATGACTGTTGGTTGATTTTTGGTAAATCACTTTTACCCATACTCTCCAGATAATATGTTTGAGTTGAGTAGCAGGTGAATTTTCATGCATTCTTAGAAAGTCTGCTGACATATCATCGTAATATGTTTCCCATAGATTTCTAATATCCGTTGGATTGCAATGAACTAAAATTGTTGCAAATAAACTTCGAAGAGCTGGTGGCATTTTGAAGAAGGCAGCCTCACGTAAATATTCAGAAATACTATTATCTGATTCTAATAATCCTCTTTGTTTGGCAGCTTCTTTGAAAGTTTCACATTTTTTTCTATTAACAGTTAGCAAATCTTAAAATGAAAATGGTCCTCTAACGTGGTTCAGTAATAATCTCTCATAATATCTTTCACCTTCTCAGGGATTGGTTATATTATTGATTTGTAAATGTTAATAAGCATAATTTAAGAAGTGAATAATAATTTGAATTTAAGTAGTAGCTGTCTTACTAATAGCAATCCGACCAATCACTGATCGTGTTTTTCTTTTTGTCCAAATTTTGGGTTGCGGATTCCAAACATAATATTTTGAAAATTCTCTGTAAGGATAATTTCGTGCCTCATCGTCTATTGAGCACATCCTGAAATACTCGGTGAGCATAGTATGCTTTACAATGTCTGAGGCTATCATATTTCTGAGATTTTGCTTCTTCCAATAGTACACTAAAGTATGGATACAACAGTAGAACATAAATATTGATGTAGTTGCAGAAAAACAATTGCTATAAATTTTGCTATATGTGTTAATTAATTTTAGTACCTGCTTGATTGTTGGGTAGATATAGTTGAAGGTTAATAATTGGAGGTTGCATTTCACTTAGATTAAACTCATAAATTCTCCATAGTGCTTCTGGCGAAGAGACCTATCGTGATGAAAATTTCTAATTTCATCAACTATTTTTTCTCCATTATCCGACTCAATATAAACTGCACACCTATCATGCATTTTATATATATATTTGTAAAGATATTTTATTGCTTTTACTCCTGAGCAAACTTCTACATTGATATGGAAATTATATCTCATCAACAAATATGGATTATAAGGCACAACCCACTGGTTATTCATATTTATTCCACGAACATTTACTCTTTTTCCATCATTTCTTCTCCTATAAATAGGATATCCATCTTTTCTTTGTATTAATTTATTATTGAATGGTCGTGGATAATGAAATTTACATTGATCATCCTTCATGAATGGACTTGTTCGCCGATCTTCACCGCAAGGTCCATGCATCATATGCCTTATAATTAATTCATTCATGTGCGGCTGTTTGTCCTTGTCAGGCAATTCTATAAAAATAAATCTATCATACTAATCTGTTGTTGCTATCTTGTGACCTTCTTTAAGTATGACCAAAAGGTGTATATGAGGTAATCCTCTCTTTTGAAATTCAATGACAAAATCATGTGCTGCAATAGGGCCAAATATTTCTTTGTTGAAAATTTGGTCTTTAAGGTCTTGCAATTTTGCTCTAAAAACTCTAGTCACTAAGTCTGGCTTATCTTGAGGGAGTTGACCTTCGCACAACTCTTCTTGAATATCTACCCATTCAGTGTTACATGTCATCGTAATAAATAGATCTGGTCTTCCGAAATGTTGAACCGGAGCCATAGCGTCCATGTAGCGCCGCCGCTGTCACACCTCCTTTTTTCCGAGGGGATAAGGGAGTTTTCCAATTAAAGTGATATTAATCAAAATGAGATTATTTATTTAATTCAGAGTCGCCACTTGGAATAATTATTTTGGTGTCCCAAGTCACCGGTTTATTTTAAATCCCAAATCGAGGAAATTCACTCTATTTTTACGGTCCGCGAACATAGAAGATCGGGTAAAGAATTCTATTAACCCAGAAAAAGGTGTTAGGCATTCCCGAATTTTGTGGTTTTAGTACGGTCGCTTTTATTGATTAAATTTGGCTTGAATTATTTTTGGATAAACTGTGTTTTATTTATTTTTATGTTTTACCTATGTTCGCTTTCATTGCTTGATTATTTATTGAAGGACAAAATTACATTATAAATAACGTTATAATTTTATTATGACTTTGCAGTTAAGGTCAAGTTACACAAGTGTGCACTCGAATTTGGAATTATATACTATGATTATGCCACAGAACCGTACCCATAGTTACAATAATCTATTATTGGCCACACCTAAAGCACATTACGTTATTCAAAGTTGTTTAATTATTTGCTAAGTTTGGGATTATTGTGGGGCTCAAAGGTTACGGGGTAGAATTATGGAAAATGTAAGATTGATTATTAAAGATTACTAGAGGTATCAATTATGTCGGGTATAGTGAGATAATGCGACAAGTAAATAAATCCTACTTATTCATTCTATTTTATCTATACTTAATTCTTGATGAAGAAAATTAATGGAATAAAATGAAAGCTCGTGCTAAACTCCAACGTGATCTCTACCAAATCAAACAGTAGCTCATTTGACTTTTCCAATTCATAATTAATACTCACACCCAACATAAAGCCATAAGAACCCCACTTGACAAGAATAACTATTAAACAAGATATGCACTTATTAAAAGTTTGATTCAAAACACAGTAGCATTTGTCGTTGATGAAACAGAGAGCAATAAACCATTCAAACTTTCATATTGATTTAACAGTTAAACACACTACATAATCACACCGATAATTCAAAACATGAAACTTTGATGGAAATATTTATAAGAGCATGAAAACGAACCTTGAATATGCAACGCTTTTCAAATATATTGATAAGAAAAAATCTCTGACTCGTACATAATCTTGTTCAAAGTGAAGAGATCCAGAAATAAAAATGAGATTTTCGTCGTCAACTCGTAATTGACCGTACGCCGGAACCTCAAACCAAGACCTCGTCGGGGACTTTTCCCGGATTGTTTTCACTCAGATTTTAGCGACCAAGAGTGGATTTTTCCTGCTGGTTTTGTGATGTTTGCGAGCCGATTTTTGTATGGAGAATCGCTACGTTTTTGTGGCAGTTTTGAAGATGAAAATTGGCGTTAATGGAGGTAGGTTTTGTAGCTGTTTTGCTGCATTTATGGGCAGCTTTTGCTGTAATTTCGGGATGCCTTTTGCTGGAATTCAGGGTGAGATTCGTGGCTATTTTTTGCTATGTTTTGGGGGTAGTTTCAGTTGATTTTTGTAGCTAAAAGGGTGCTGGATTTTGACTGATTTGTTTGGCGTCAAAGAGGTGGGTGTTAATGGAGGTTTGGTGCATTTTTTGCTTGGGGAAGAAGGAGGTCCATCCGGTTCTTTTTTTTTTTTTTTTTTTTTTTTTTGTGTTTGTACATATATTAAGAAAAGATGAGAGGAGGAGTGTTGAAAATGAACGATGGGACAAGGAATAGTGACACGTAAATAGTGTAGTAGGTGGATGATGTGACAAAGGAATAGTGAAAGGGAGTGAGATGTAACACATGAATAGTGTAGTAGGTGGGTGATGGGACAAAGATATAGTGTAGGGAAGGTAGGAAGTAATATTATTAGATTTGGTCTGTGATTCAAATAAATTCTTCCGCCCTCTACGTAATAGACTTTGTTAAAAATATTACATATTCTCGAATAAAGCCTACTAATAAAAATAACATTCAAGTTAAAATATCAAAATTAAATTTAAAACTATTTAAATACTAAAAAACAAAAGTGGTGAAAATTTTAAATATAGTCAAAAATTAGGTGCTCACAGCATGCCCCTTTTTACTTGAAAATATGAAGAGTTTTTAGGCAAAGACAAAGTGAGCCGTATGATTAATTTTTGACCATACCATTATTCAAAAAGGAAGAAACAAAGAAAAGAGAAGAGAGTGCAAGAGTGCAACCGAGTCCTGGTTTTGGACAACCTACATATCCCGGATTATAAAGGAATCAAGTCGCGTGTAGTTCAAGTGGGTTAAAGGATTGAGTGATGAGTTCGAGAGTCGAGTGACGTTTCGTCGAGGCTTTGGTCCGTGGTCCTGTTATTACATCAAAATCAAAATTAAATGAAACTAAAAAAACCTATCAGCTATGAGTTACAAGATTCCTGTCTATAAAACTTCTGAAACTTGATCTTGAGTCTTGACTGGTTTTTCACACAGACTCTGATCTGAACCTTGATGCTTGCTAGCTGCAGGTGTTACTTCATTCTTCTAAGGCTTCTTCTGATCAAAACGGGAAATAGCTCGTGTCTTCAGTCATGTCTGGAGCAGTCTACATCTTTTCATCTACTTCTTTTTGGATTCACTTCTTTTTTTTCTTTTATTCTGAATTGAGACTTCTTATTTTGGTCATCTCGAACCCTGTGCCTCGAGGTAAAACCTGCTCAGACAACAAATTTCGTGAGTTATTGTAACAAAATTTTCCCTCTGTTTGGGTAAAACCTGTTATTGTAACAAAATTCTAAACTACTTGTTTATTGAAAGCAATAAAAGGCCGGGAATGGTTTACCCTTGAAAAATAGGGACTAAGGTGTCACGACCCAATTTTCCCTCCGTTTGGGTATCGTGATGGCACCTAGTCTTAGGGACTAGGTAAGCCTAACAATAATTAAAACAATAACATTATTTAAATAGGAACTCTTACAATTCCCAAAACCAGTAGTATAAGTCATAAGCTCTACAGAGTGTTTGCTAAAAAAACTTCTAAATACAACTCTCCAGAAATAAGAATAAACAGTGCAAAATGAAAAGTTGAAGGTGACGCCGAAGCCTGCTAACGCAGCGACAAGTTTACCTTGAGTCTCCGCAGCAACAGTCCACACAGCTAGCTAACGAACAAGTACCTGGATCTGCACAAAAATATGCAGAAGAGTAGCATGAGCACACCGCAGCGGTTCCCAGTAAGTATCAAGACTAACCTCGGTGGAGTAGTGACGAGGAACAGTCAAGACACCCACTGGTCTAATAAACTGAACAGATATAAGTACATGAACAACAGAAGT